CACATGCCAACATCCTTCAAAAACCAATGGAAATTCACTGAGTTTGGCCTCTTCGGGCCTTCCTGGAGGCCCTCTTGGAGGCCTCTTGACTCGTTTTGGGGACCTCTTGGGGGCCTCGTGGGCCGTCTTGGAGGCGTCTTGGCCCGTCTTGGCGGCCTCCTGGTCCGCCTGACGCCGTCGGAGGCCGTCTTGCGGAGCTCTCTGGGCGGACTCGGGGCCCTCTTGCGGTGCTCCAGGGCCGTCTTGGAGGCCATCTTGGGCGTCCTGGAGGCCTCTTGGACCGTCTTGGGGTTCCTCGGGGCCGTCTTGGAGGCCGCTTGGGCCGTTCTTGGGCCATCTTGGAGGCCGTCTTGGGCGATCTTGGGGCGATCTTTGGGGGCTCTTAGGCCGTCTCGGACCGTCGACAGGCCGAAAAGAAGCAAATGCCAACATCCTTCACAAACCTATGGGAACTCAGTGAGTTTTGCCCCTGCGGGCCTTCCTGGAGGCCTCTTGGGTCATCTTGGAGACCTCTCGGGGGCCTCTTGGACCGTCTTGGAGGCTTCGTGGGCGGACTTGGAAGTTGGAAGTCTTTTGGGCCCTCTTGGGCCATCTTGGAAGCCATTTTGGAGCCTCTTGGGCCATCTTCGAAGCCATTCTGGACCATATCTGGGACGAACTTGGATGCCTTGCTGGGGCCGTCTTGGAGGCTTCTTGGGCCGTCAGGATGTCATCTTGGAGGCCTTTGGGGCCATCTCGGGGCGATCTCGGGGGCCTCTTGGGCCGTCTTGGGCTGTCGGAAGGCCGAACAGAAGCAAATGCCAAAACCACTGACTTTGGCTTCGTCGGGCCCTCCTCGCGGACCTCTTCAAGGCCTCTCGTGCCGTCGTGGACGCCTCTTGGGAGCCTCTTGGACCGTCTCGGCCATCTTGGAAGCTTCTTTGGCGGACTCGGAGGCATCTTGGAGCCGTCGTTGGCCCTCTTGGTGGCTTCTTCGGCGGACTTAGGGGCAACTTTGACCATCTTGGGCCACCCTGAAGGCCACCTTGGGACAACGTGACCATTTTAGAAGCCATCTTGAGCCGTCTTGGGGATTTATTTGTGGACGTTGTACTCGTTTCGGGGCCTTTCGGGTGGCCGGCGGGACGGGCCGAAACCCCAGGGGGAGTCTTTCGGAAAAGAACAGAAGCCAAATCAGTAGGGTCAGCACGCAGGGCACCCCTGTGGCAAGACCACAGGGGGCGCCTGATGGCCTTCGGCCCGTCCCGCCAGCGTGCCTGGGTTGTGGATCAGATTCCTCAGGGATGCTTCTTGGTGTCTCTTCGGAACGCTCGCCTCTGGGGGGCAGTTGTGGAGCCTCTTGGGGGCCTCTGGAGGGTCTCTTGGGAGCCTCTTGGGGGTCTCTTGGGACTTCCTGGGGGTCTCTTGGGGGCCTCTTGAGGCCTTCTGGGACCTCTGGGGGGCCACGGGCTCGAAATGTCCGTTCGGGTCCTTCGTCTGGACTCCTTCTTGGAGCCGTCTTGGGGGCCTCGTGGACTGTCTTGGAGGCCTCTTGGGCCGTCTGGGGACCCTTTTGGGCCGTTGTGGGGTCCTCTTGGAGTCCTCGTCGGCTGTCTTGGGGAGATCTTGGGGGCCACTTGGGCCGTCTTGGAGGGTCGGGAAGCCGAACAGGCGAGAGCACCGAAATGACTTACAAACCTAAGGACAATCTGTGATGTTTGTCTCTTGGGGCCCTCTTGGGAGTGCCGGGGCGCTCCACTGCGTGCCAGAGGCACGGTGGCGGATTCGGAGCCGGCAATAGAAAGCAAGTAGCCCGCCACAAAGTTGGGCGGGCCTCCTCCTTGTAGTGAGTGGGCCGTCGGGCAGGATTAATTCTGAATTCGGGAGAACCCAACCTCACCCACCCTGGGGCATCAAGTTCCTGGGAGTGGCTGGGGCCTTGTGTACAGGGCCCCTGGATCCGCCACCCGTGAAAGAGGCATTCACGTCATCTCTGGCCCCTCCTTTAACATCGCACTGTTATAAAGGCTGTTCGAGGATACGCAGTGATGAATTCGAGAGAACCTTCCTAATCCGATGGTCATGCCAGGATGCCTCGACGCCGTTCTTCTCCTCTGTCCCTACGCTCCCGCCAGGCGTGAAGGGGGCCGTCTCCGGCAGGAGCGGCGTCGTCGTGGCGGCCACAAACCGGTGCCCCGGGCTCAGCTGGCTTTCCCGCCTCCTCTGCTACGCCACGTAGGCACGTAGGATCTCCGTGCGATCGACATGGGCACTGAGGATTTCATAACACGGTGGGGGCGTTGGTTAAGGAACGTTCCCAGGAGGCTTCAGACCCTGGAGGATTCATTGTCTCATCAGGGCGGCGGTGGTATCCATTGCCGATCCATGGATTGCTTATGCAATGGTTCGTTATCCAATGTCCTTACCGTAACGTGGGGGGGCGGCGGGGACGCCAGCAGTCTGCGAAGCTCTGAAGCAGCCTGCCGCAGGCGCCTAGATTTTGCAAAGTGTACAACGAGCCCTCCGCGGGCGCCGGCTCTTTGGCTAAAGCAATGTGGGTTCGTTTATTAAAACGATGTGGGTGGGTCGTGGGTGGGTCGCAGGTAGGTCGCGGGTGTGTCGCGGGTGGGTCTCGGGTGGGTCGCGGGTGGGTCGCGGGTGGGTCGCGGGTGGGTCGCGGGTTGAGTCGCGGTTGGATCGCGGACCAGGTCGCGGGGCGGACGACGACAGCAAACAACGCAACAACAACAACAGCAATGACAATAGCAACAACAGCATTAGCAGCAGCAGTAGCAACAACAACAATCCTCACCGCGGAGCCTCACTTCAGCCACACGCCCAAGGACAGTGAATGACCGTTCGGCCCCCTCAATCTGACTTTACAGTCAAGACGATGAAATAAGGACTTTTTCGGGCTCGGGAGGGGCTATGGATTTCGGCCGCTCCTGAGAACCAGGCCGGACAAACGATTCGCGGCCGAGGTTCGCCGTGGCCAGAAAAGATCTTCATTGTTTACTCGTCGTCATGGTAGTGCGATGGTTGCCCTTCGCTTGTAACCTTCAGCAGCCGCAGCACCCTCCGGAAGTCATGGGCTGGAACTTGCGGGGCCGGCCGGGTGGGGCAGCAATCAGGGCCAGGCTCGTTTGGAGGCGATCCGCTCTAGACCTGCGACGTCGTGCTTGTGTTCCCCTCGCTGTTTTTTGTCAGAAAGGCATTTATCGGGTTTGGAGGATGGGTCTGGGAGAAGCGATCAGATCATCCGTATTGTCGCGTATGCTGAATGCGTTTATCACGCAGTCGTGCCCTGTAACTTCCCCACCCCTTCCTGCGAACCCGATAATTGTCGTTCGCATTCTTCACAAGCGAGCCAGAATACCATAGGCAAAGACTGACTACGGCAAAACAGCCGCGGTGCCTTTTTCGCGACGCTGGAGGTCTAGAGTCTGCACGTGTTCTCTAGCTTGTGACATCCCTGTCCCACACAGGGCTCCATAACAAGAAAAAATCAAACTAACATTGAACTAACATTTCAGTATTGTTGGGACAACCACGGAAAACAAGCTTGGAAGTAGGTCATAGGCGCGGCACAAGTAGGTCATATGTTGTCTCGGGCTGCAGAAGAAACACCAGAAGCACATGGAGTACGCGGGGGCGCAGGGAGGAATAGGGGGAGGAGAAGGAGGACGAGGAGGAGGAGGGGGAAGGAGGAGAGGAGGAGGAGGCGGAGGAGGAGGAGGAGGAGAAGCAGCGCAGTAGCAACAGGGCAGTCTTGGGGCACGTAGGGGTCCAGGGGCGCACCTCCTCCTCCTCCTCCTCCGCCTCCTCCTCCTCCTCCTGTTCCTCTTCTTCTTCCTCCTCCTCATCACTTTAGTCCTCCTCCTCCTCCTCCCCCTCCTCCTCCTCCTGGGTCGGACTTGCCAGCATCGGCCCCTGGGGCGTTACACCCATAAGGGGGGGCTATGCCTCCTGCTCCTCCTCTCCCTTTTGTTCCTCCTCCTTCGCCTCGATCCTCCTCCTCCCCTTGCTGCGCCTCCTCGCCCGCCTGTTCCTGCTCCTCCCCCTCCTGCTCCCCTCCTGCTCCTCCTCCTTCTCCTCTTCGTCGAGGTCCTCCTCTTCCTCCTCCTCCTCCTCCTCTTCCTCCCTCTCCCCCCTAGGAGGTGCTCGATCATCCTCCCCCCTCCTGATGCTGTTCCTCCTCCGCCTCCTTCGCGTTCCGTCGCCTCCGACAGCTTCATCCGCCATGCGGTGTCTTTAGAATTCGGCGGCGGGGGCCATGGCGGGCTGGGGCGACCTGGCGGTCGCGGTCGCCCCGCCCGCGGCCGTCGCCGCGGCGGTGGAGGACTTGGGGCCTGGAGAAAGAGGAGGAGAAGGGATTGGATGGGGGAGGGGAGGAGGAGGACTTTGGGGGTTAGAGGACTAGAGAAGGAGGAGGAGGAGGTATCCCGCCCCCCCCCGCGGCTCCCGAAGGAGCCGCCAGCTGCCGCCCCAGCCCCCGCCGCCGCCGCTGCTGGCGCGGCGCGGCGCCGCGGCCGACCTCCAGGCAGGAGGACGACTGCGGTTGAAACGTGGGGGTCATGTGATATCCACCCCCTGTTTTGGGGGTGGATATCGCGTGTTTTTTTCGTTGGGGTTGTCTTTCGCCCCGTCCCTGGGTCGGCGTGGGGTTCGGGTCCGCGGGTCGGTTGATTGATTTACACCGGTTTAGGGCCGAGTGGTCGGAGGGGTTGCCGAGGGCCGAAAATCGACGAGGGAGGGGGTCGCCAACAAAATTTTGAATATCTCAGCGGAGGAGGCGGTGGGAAGAGGAACGAGTAGAGGTGGAGGGATGAGGGGAGGATGGGAATGGATGATGTGGCCATGGACGTGGGAGGGGATGGATGGAGGCGGCCACGGAGGAGGAAGCAGGGCGTTCTATGTTTCGAATCCGTGTTGCCACGAGGACTTTGCTGCATGTGCAGCTTCCTGCTGACGTCGGCGCTGCAGCTGCCCCTGCTTCTGGCGCTGGGCCTGCCGCCGCCGAGGTGGAGCTGGCGGGCCCAGCGAAGCGGCCATCCAGCGTCCGTGGCCTGCTGCCGCAGTCCAAGGTGCACCGCTCCGCGTCAGAACAGCTTCTGGTGCACCAGCAGCGCGTGGGAGGCTTCGTGACGATGGACCCCTTGGTGAAGCCGCTCGTGGTGGCCATGAGGATCGGCTCCCAGGTCGATCACGATGACATCGACGATGCGACCGTGCGTTGCACGACCGAGCTTTTGGCGCCGACGGACCGCTTGATGGTCAGCGCCTCGATCTTCGAGCGGATCACGGACGTGTCGCACAAGAAACACCAGCGGGCTCTCACGTTGACTGGGGCGGCCTGCAGCATCATTGACCGTCACGCGTCGCATTGCATTGAGAAGAATGCAGTCATGAACGCAGTGGGCGGCGAGCTTCTGCAATATTTTGAGTTCGCCTGCTACGACGAGAGCCCCATGAATGCAACTACTTGGGCTGGCCATGCTATTTCAGACGTCGTCTTGCCACCAGCTGATCGCCCAGCGCAGTCCGACTCGTCCATCGTTGTCGCCACGGGGTTTCAAGCGGCGATTGAGGACAAGAAGAGCGATATGAATACGAAGCTCTTGCAGACCCTCGCCTCGACCGCTCTGTTGACCAAGCGTGACAGTACCATCAGCATTTGGACTCATCATCGTACCCCACCTCTTGCCCAGATTGAAAGCACACATGCATCTACGATTGCGCTGGCAGAGATACGAGCATCAGCTGCCACTGCAATATCAAACAGATTTGCCAGACGGGCCAGGATGTCCACCACCGACGATCATTCATCCAACCCCCAGGTAGAGCACATCATCAAGACATTGCGCGGTGATTGGTCGTCGGCTCGACCAGGCTGCACAAGCCACCACCTCGGCACTTGTTACGAGAAGTCGTTGTCCCTTTTGAAGGTTAACCTGGCGGGGATGGTCAGTTTTTCTCGGTCGCTGCAGTACATGGCAGATCTCATGTGTTTCAAGAGGTGCATCTACGAGCACGTGAGGGGGAACATCCAAGTGTTGCATGGGGAATGCTCTCCAGATGCACGTTCCCATCGGCTTCGAATGATTGCGCTGTTCACGAGTACGAAGGCCAAGGACAGGTTGGCGCAGCAGGTGTTGTTGTCGCAGCTCCCGAATGGCGATTGGCGAGATACGACCACGGTGCAGTACTACATGAAACCTGGCACAGCTTCGATGTCCGAGGCTGCCATCTCGCACATGGTGGCTGCTGCTCTGAGCTCGGCTCTGGCGGCTTCGAAGCCCTCGACCTATCGAGCTGATCGGTGGACAGGGGCTGAGGCTGCGACCGACGAGGCCTCCATCGGGATAGCAGTCCACAATATCTTCGGGCATGCGTACAGGCGGATGCTGGCGATCAAGAAGCAGGCCGTGCCGTTGGTGCCGAGACGAGGTGGTCTCGCTGCTAATGAAGTTTACCACGTTCGCCGCGACCGCGACGTCGGGGGCGACGCGCCCGCGATCGCGGACGCCGAGGGCGACGGCGGCGGGGCGGGCGGCGCCGACGAGATGATTGCTGGCACGAAGGCCGACAAGGAGAGGATGATGGCGGCCATCCGTTCTCGCAGGCAGCGGGCAGCAGCGTGGTTGGAGCAGGGGCCGCTGGGGTTGCAGATCGTCTCGCGGTGCGCCATGGAGTGCACGAAGACGATGGCCGAGCTCAACTTCAAGATTCACTCTGCTGCGTGGGGGCGCAGCCAGACAGCCAGCGCCGCCAGGGCGCTGATCAACGGCGAGGCCAGCTTGCTCATCAGGGACTTTGCAGGTCTTGCTGTCGCGAGGGGGGACGTGGACAAGGCGGGGTACCGCAAGCTCGCGGCGCTGTACGACAACAAGGTGATGTGGAGCGTGCTGCCTGGTGACTGCACCACCGTGGAGTTCCGCGCGATGATCTTCTCGCTCCTCAGTCGGGTCGGCTGCGTGACGGAGTGCAAGGTGCGCGCGGGCGCCAGCCCGCCTTCCGCCTACTTTCCCTTCTCGCCCTGGCCCTTCATACCGAGTGTTATTTCATGTTTCGTTTGAAAACGTTGTTTTTTTGTTCAGGATGCATCCCTCTCCGTCGGTCGTCGCACCCCTCCCTCCCCCGCTGCCGCCCTCGAGGTTTCTCACGATCGACGGAGCTACCCCACGAGGGTCCTGAGGCTTCTCGAGCGCCCCGAGCTGGGCCCCATCATGGCGCAAACTTCAGAGTGCGTGCTGACAGATTGGGTCAAAGAGTTGATTGTGGACCACCCTACCCTCAACGACGACGAGTGCCTCGCAAAGTTGCTGTGCGTCGCTTGGAAGTTCAGGAAAGACAATGCACGGGTCGAGAACTATTTCGCAACCACTCGTCGTCATTTGGTGTCGAAGTCGTGCCAGACGCACCGCATGACCTTTGAGGACTTGAACTCTGAGTGGGTGCGCATGCACGTTCGGAAGAGGTTCGCCAACCAGCGCCATCGCAAGCTTGCCAAACCACCGCAACAAAGACAGAAACAAGTCAAGAAAACCAAGAAGGCTCGCGGCGGTGGAGGCGTCGCGAGGTTGTTCTTGCGGCAGTGCCTGATGAACGCTGGAGGCAAGATGACGATGGCTGAGGCGCATCGCCGTCGTCGAGCCCTGACGCCAGAACAGCTGGCTCGCCTTGCAGAGCCTGGCCGCTTGGCTACGCTTGCACACCGACGTGGGCTGCCTGGTTCGTCATTTGGTCCAACTGCGTCGAGCTCGAGGCGACGCTCGGCCGTGGGTGCCAGGGCTGCCGATGGCCTCCAGGTGGCGGCGGCGCTGCCTCGCGATCGTCTTGACCAGGTCCGTGCCATGTCAGAGTCTTTCGCCAACACTGACGATTGCTTGAAGCACCTTCGCAGGATGAGCGCCGCGGCTTCGCGGCGGCGGACCCAGGAGCTCAACGCTGACGACGACGTGATCCAGACTTACGTCGAGGGCTTGGGCAGGGAGAGTGTGGTAGAGAGCGTTTCACATCCAATGCAGGATTGCATATTATCGGGATCTTGGGCGTCTGTTCCACTATCTGGCAAGGTCAGGTGTTTCGAGTCTGCTTTCGACATGGGCGGCTTCATATCGAAGGCATTGGGGTGGGCGTCTCACCAGACTCACCGTGCCAACCTTTGCACTAGCTTGGAGGCGTACTGGCAGGAAGTATGCAGCCTTGTCCTGGGTTCGCAGGGGCCGCAGTTGGAGACCCACAAGGTGCAAACGCAAAGCCAGTGCCAGCGCGCAGAGTTCTGCGTTCATAAGGGCCAAGGCCTACAATTGGCCCAGCGGGTTTCCCGATTCCTTACAATCCTGAAGTCAATTGCAAAAGTTGGGACGTTCGAGCGAGACGCTGTTGATCGGGGTCGGGTTGTTGCTCATTTACACGGCGGTGGTGCTCTCGGCTTTGATTCACTGGACGTGTGGCTCCACATTGGGCTTCATTATTGGTCACCTTATGAACCTACGTTTCAGATTTTGACGCAGATCCCAGATCCAGGCGAGCTGGCTTTCACCCCGAATCGTGTGTACGTTCAGGCGCGCAGGGAGTTCAAGGTGATGTACCAAGCGCTGCTTCCACTTCTTGACAGGCCTGAATGGAGCGCGCAGTGGTTCGCCCTTGAGTCCACGCCAGTGCGCATCCGAGACATGGACCCCGCCATTGCGCCGCTGCTCCCGCTCGGCGGCCGCGACGCCGCTGAGCAGATGTGGCCGCCCCCGCGTCGGGCGCGCGGGCGCGGTCGAGGCGGCGGCCGCGGTGGCGGCCGAGCTGGCGGCAGAGGCCGCGGGCCATTGCCCTTGGAGGACGATGGGGGAGCTGAGCCAGTCGCTGACGCATACGACGATGGCGATGGTGCCGATGGGGCCCGTGAGCACGGCGGCGGCGACGACGTGGCGGCCCTCGTCGACGAGCTAGACGAGGGCGAGGTTGGCGACGGCATGGCGCCTGGAGGCGGGCTTGATGAAGGACATGGCGACCGCGCGCCGCACGAGGGCGGCGCAGCGGGCGGCGCCCCACCTGGCGAGGAGGCGGAGGCTGCTGTTGCGCCGCCGCCGCCGCCGCCGCCGCCAGCTGGCCCAGCTCGTGACAGGATCGGCGCAGACGCCACTGCGCGGATCCATGGAGGGCGGTTGTGCTACTACGTCCGCTACACCAACTTCGAGGCCGTGTGCCCGAACAAGGCGCACGGCCGATGCATTGTGAGGAGGACGCCGAACGAGAAATTCATTGGCGCGGACGGCATCCCGCGTGGCGGGCGGCCATGCGGTTTCTTGGCTGCGTGGCTCGCCGTGTCGCACCTTGCCGAGACCCGCGAGGAGCACTCGTCCAGCGAGTTCCTGAGGAACTCCATCGGGGATGCTGGGATCAGGCTTGCAGAGCGGACGCAGGTTGCGGTGCTCGACCAAGGCCCATAGCTTTTGGGCTTCGAGCGGGACTTAGCCGCGGCTGCTGGCGAGCCTGAGGAGCCTGCCGACTTGATCGGGCTACTCTGAGCTGGAGTGGCACAGCGCACTGCTGGCCTCGAGGGGAGAGGCTGAAAAGAAGTGAGAGTTATCTTGTGCAATCCTTTGTTCCAGCGGTAACCCTCAAGAGCTACTCGGCGGCAGTTTCGCTGGGTCCTGGTGTTGCGTTTGGAAGATCTTTGAAAGTTACTTTAGAGTTAGTTTTCGCAGGGCGTCTGATTCGAGTTAGTTTTGAGTTAGTTTTGAGTTAGTTTTTGGTAGGTTCTGAGCGGGTGTGCATGCGTGTCTCGGGTCTGTGGGGCAGCAAGAGGAACGCGTCAGGTTTCAGTTAGTTTTGAGTTAGTTTTGAGTTAGTTTTGTCTCGTTTGAGCTAGTTTTGGGAAGCTGGGAGTTACTTTCGGTCTGTGTGTTTTTTTGGTCGTGGGGCCGGTCCTGTTCAGGAAACAGCCCCATTTCGGGGAAAACGCTAGTTTTGGGTTAGCTTACAGCGAAGAATGTTAGTTTTGGGTTAGTTTGGGGTTAGTTGTTCAACGGTTTGAGTTAGTTTTTAACGTTGTTTTGTTTTTTTTTCACAGTTTTAGTTAGTTTTGGGTTAGTTTTGAGTTAGTTTTGAGTTAGTTTTTAACGCCTGGTTCGGGCGCCGTGCCGACTCCTCTGGGAAACCCAGCCCCCTCTCGAGAAAAGTTAGTTTTTGTTAGTTTCCAGTGGGAAAAGTTACTTTTTAGTTAGTTTTTGGTTAGTTGTTGCTCCCCCCCCTCCCAGCGAAACTGCCGAAAGTTAGTGTTGAGTTAGTTTTAGGCCATTCTGAGTTGGTTTTGAGTTAGTTCTGGGTTAGTTTTACATGAGTTTGGGCGCCGCGTGCCCAGCAAATAAGCGGCCCGCGGCAGCGCCGCAGTGAGGTTTTTCGGAGGTTGCGGCCAGGGGTCCTTGGGGCGAAGGAAAACGAACTTTCAATGTAGGTCGGGGGTCCAGTTGCCGCTGCCCACTAGGGAGGGGCGAACTAGGGGGGGGGGCGCTGATGCAAGTCAGACATCCATGTTCACTTGGCTTGGGCGACTTAAGGTCCTGCGCCTCCTGCCCCTCGCCCTCCCGCACCTCAACCTCCTCCGACATTTACGCCGAGAGGAATAGACGCGCTTCGCGGCCGAGGGGCAAACATTGAGTGAACACGCTTCGCGGCCGAGGGGCAAACATTGAGTGAACGCCCCGTCCTCCCCCTCACCCTCTCAGGAGCAGCAGGATCATCAGGGGCACTTTGGGGTCCCACAGCAAAGTTGATGACCCCCCCCCCTTCTGTTCGCCGCGACGGGCCCATCATAGAGAACCGCGTTCAAGACTCCAGGGGGATGATGAGGAGGAGGAGGAGGAGGAGCACGAGGAGGAGCACGAGGAGGGGGAGGAGCACGAGGAGGACGCGAATCTCGAGGATCATCAGGGGCACTTTGGGGGCCCACAGCAAAGTTGATGATCCCCCCCCTTTTGTTCGCCGCAACGGGCCCATCATAGAGAACCTCGTTCAAGACTCCACGAGGAGGAAGAGGAGGAGGAGGGCGAGGAGGAGCACGAGGAGGAGCAGGAGGAGGACAGAGAACGGAGGAGGCTGAGGAGGAGGAGGAGCAAATACCGAACTTGCTCATCAGCTGCGTACTACTCCTCCCTCCTCCTCCTCCTTCTCCTCCTCCTCCTCCTCCTCATCTTCCTCCTCTTCAAAGAGTTATTTTTTTCGCGATCAGTTTCCTCCTCTCCTCCTCCTCACCTCTTCCCCCGCCTCCTCCGCCTCCTCCTCCTCGTCCTCTCCGGAGAGAAATATGATTGCCCTTGTCGTTGGCCTGCCTTTGTTTTCGTTGGCATGGCACGTGGGCGAACCAGGCGCCACCCCCCACATTCCGTTGCACTTGATTCCCAAGTCTTTTGGTTTGTGATCGAGTTCCCACGCGCGTCCCTCGGGCATCTCCCCAGCTGCCCCTCAGCTGCCGCCAGACCAATGGCCTCTGCCGCCAAGGGCGGCCGCGTGCGCATGAGTGGCATGACGTCTGATGGCCCCCCGCGCAAGTGTCAGAGGAAGGAGACTGCCCCGCCGAAGTCGCCCAAGGGTGGCAAGAAGGCCGCGGCAGACGCTCTGCTCGAGTGCTTCTGCTGCAGGAGCAGCCCCGACGACGCCAAGGCCGCTCGAGGGGGAGGGCAGGGAGGCAGGGGGGAGGAGGAGGATGGAGGAGGAGGAGGTCGAGGATAGCGGAGGAGGAGACGAGGCGCAGGATGAGGAGGGTGCTCGGGGGAAGGAAGATAACCGATGAGAGGGCGGCCTTCCCTCGGTGGGATGGGCGTTTTTTCGTTTCGGAAACGGCGCCACTGGCGTTGTTTTCATAAACGGCCCGCGGTCGCACGGACCTCGACGCCGCGTTGATCAATCAAAACAATTTGGGGACAGGGGGCCACCTTGCCCCCGCATTGTTTTGATTGATCAGCGCGGCGCTCCCGAGGCCAAGGGCATCGAGTGGGCGTTGTACAGGGGCCTGTCTGGAGGTCAGCGCCGCGCCGTCGGGGACGCGTGCCGCCAGCGCTGGACGGCCGCCAAGGCCGTCGGGGGCCAGTCCGCAGATGCCGCCGAGGTCATCAACCTTTACAAGGCGGGGGAGCTCGAGCCGGTCGAGAGCGTGGATCAGGCGATCAAGACCGCCCAGACTGGAGAGCAGAGCTTCGCCCCGTCCGCTGTGACGGACACGACGGAGGTGGCCTTCGATTTCACGCGTGAGATCGTCGTCAAGACCGAGTCCGAGCTCAAGAAGGATTTGAACAGGTCTCGTTTGCTCAAGCGGCAGACGAAGGCATTGTGTGGCATGTCGGCTCCGAATGACACGGGCACTGGCACCGAGCACGTCTACTTCTTCAAGTCTGATGAGGGTTCAGACGATACCGCTGGTGGGGGCAGCTCGGGAGCTCGTCGGGTGGCCATGCGCGTGACCAGGAAGCTGACGTTCGACACCAAGCTATTGGAATCGCACAAGCAGGCCTTCCAGCAGCAGGGCCAGCGCGTTTTCCAGGAGGGTTTGGACAGCATCTTTGATGGCGACGTCTCTTGTCTCGGTGCCAAGCTCAGCAACAAGGCAGGCGCGGCGGCGTTGCAGACGTACGCGGATTTCCTGAGATCCGAGGTGGGCGCGAAGGATGACGATGACGGCGACTCCGAGAAACCTCCAGCCGAGTGCATCGATGCCGACGGTGTCCTTGAAGGCGTCGCCGCTTCTGCGATGCCCCCTCCGACGTCCTTGCCGAGGAAGGGCTCCAGGAACGCTGGCTTCGTGACGCCATCCAGGTCCGCCGTGGCGATCGGCGTGCCAGGGAGCGGTTCCAGCACCAGCCCTCTCGATGATGGAGCCAGCTGCAGCGGGAGCATGCTTTCCGTTGACGAGGAGGACCAGGAGATGTTGCACGCGGACGACTTGCTAAGGCATTGGAAGGCCAAGATCGACTTGAAGTCCGTGATGTCCAACGAGGTCGACGGTCGCATTGTAGCTGGCCTGCGGAAGCGAATCAGGAGGCTGAGGGCCAAGCCGGAGACGTACTCTGATGCCGACACTCTCGCCGTCTTCGAGGCGCAGGTGGCTTTGTGTGAGAAGTTTCGGGCGGAATGCATGGGCGACTTATCGTGGTCAGATGCTCAGGATATCGTGATGAAGCTTTCCAAAGCCGGCGTCTGCGATTACCCCAGGCAGACGCGGCTCAAGCTCGTATCGCTCAAGTTGGCCAGCCTGAATATCACCGAGGATGCCGAGGACTACGTCAGGATCGCGTCGCCCATGAACTCGGGAGTCTTCGACCCTGCGGACCCTACCCTTGGGGGCGCTGAGGCGAATGACAAGGAGAGGGTTGCCGAGTTCATCCGAGTCGTTGTGAAGGGCCACTTGAATGGGATGATCTACATGGGCCCCAGTGCGCAATCTACACTCGTTGATGTTCTCGCGGCGTGCTCCACCGCCTTCGGTGACGCCGACTACCTCACTTGCACTGCTGCGCAGATTAGATGTGCCAGCGACGTGAATGACGTTTGCGCAGTGCTGCTCCATTGCATCTGGCCTGCTCCAGGCGCCACGGTCCTCGACATTGCCGACCAGCTCGAGAGGGTCGTTGGCATGATGGATAAGACGGGTGCTTCTGCGGGTTGCGTGCTTGCGGCTGCTGTGGCCTCCACCCCGTTCTACAAGGAGAAGGTCGACGCGATGTTCAGGACCCTCCCGTTCGCGAGGGAGCAGCTGCCGAGCATCAGGAAGGCGACGGAGGCGCTGGCCGATGGCGGGCAGGACCGCTCGGCGCGCTCCAACCGCTCCTCCGTGGGCCTCGTAGGCCGGCCTGTCTTTGATCGTTTCAATCGGTTTATCCAGACAAAAATCGTCGCTCCCACCTGCGCTCGTCGTCTTGTTTCCTCTTATGCCATGGCCTGAGGAACCATCCATGGAGCAGCTGAAGTCGTGGTGTCAGAGCCTCCTGATGTGGTGCGAGGGCTTGCCGACGCACGCGGCGGAGCTGTCGGGCCTCTTGAAGCAGAAGGTCATAGATGTGGTCACGGCATTCACCAGCCTTGATTACAATGAGAACCCCATTCCCTCAAGGGAGGCCGTGGCCAGCATCAGCGAGCTAGTGCAGGAGGCCAGCATTTCCTTCACGAATGACGCCGAAGTAGAGCAGCTGCAGCACACCATGGCATCGGTGCTTCAGACCATTGATAGCACTGATCGTTGCCACCGCTTCTTCGTGGCCTCCGAGAGCTTGATGCCCGAGTGGTCGACGGGCGCCAAGGTTAACTGCATCGACCTTGACCTTTTCGCGCAGGGCGTCAAAGACGTCGCGCAGGCATGCACGCATGTCAAGGGCCTCGACCTCAGGAAGGACGCGAGGTCCAAGAGCGTCAACCGCATCCAGCACTTGATCATCGCGGTGCTTGAGGAGCACAACAATTTCCAGGAGTGGTCGAAGGGCCGCGCGTGCTTGGAGGCGCTGCTGGTGGTCTGCCCCGAGAAGACCGTGGCGAAGCGCCTTGGCATCGTGTCCGACGTGTGCGCCTTCCTCGCGGCGAGAGACGCTGTGGCTGCGGTTTCGCAGGACGCTGACGTCGTCGACTCCGAGGGGGGCATCCAGCTTTTGGACGCTCTCGCCGCGAAGCTGCCGAGGGCGAAGGCAATCTCCGAGGGCAGCGATGCAGAGTTCTTGGATCTGAACCTCCGCAACAAAAACGACGAGTCGGTGGCCTGGGCAGTCAATCTCAGGAGTGCGGCCGCCGAGAGGCGCGTCGCCATGGCTCGGGACCGTCTGAAGGGCGCCATTGAGGAGCTCGACCAGATGAAGTACGCGACCGCTTCTGGGAAGGAGTGGTGGGAGGGCCTCCTGCCCGCTGCAAGCCTCCACGAGGTCTCGAAGCACGTGCAGGCCGCGACGGCTGGCACCCAGTGGGCGCCGTTGAAGGACAAGCATGCCAAGATGGCCGTGCTGCTGAGCGACTACGCGCAGGCGTGCAAGTGGGGCGGCCTGCAAGTGGACGCCGACATGAAGAATGATGCCGATGCCGTCTCTGAGAGGATCGCGATCACGCTTGCGGAGGCTGTCATCTTAATGAAGCTGACCACCGAGCGCAACAGCGACCTCCTCCGCCAGGCCATCGTGGACGAAGTGAAGGTGCTCAGGATGAAGCTCCGCAGTGGTGTGAAGGAGGACCGTGCTCTCCACATCAGCGTCTTCCAGCCCACGATGGCCTTCTTGTTGGGCCGCTAGCCCGAGCTCGGGTACTTCGAGGATGCGCGTTCGTTTTTGCTGGCCCTGGCTGTAGAGTGTTAGTAACAAGTACTTCTTCGCTCCAGTAGTCGTTTGGACTGTCATCGCCGACTGCGCGTCGGTGACGGCCTTGCGGGAGTTGGCCGTGGAGCGACTCCAGTCGGGGGGAAGGGGCTGGGGTTCACTACAATGTTTGACAAGTGTTGAGAGGATCGCCCATTCGGGTTTTGTTGACGTTGCCCCCTTCCGCCAGCAGAATTCACTCGTAGTAGGAATGAATCTAGACAACTTTGAGAGGGCTCGCGGTGTGAGCGCGCTTGCTCTTTCGTTGAGCGCCCCGTCTTGTCGGATGCACATGGCACCGCGGGAGATCTGCAAGGCCACCCCCGACACACCACGGCGGCGCCGTGGCGCCCTCAGAGATCAATCGATTGAGTTGTGCAGGTGTCTTGGAAACAGTCGGCCGTGCTTTGCCGCGGTCAGTGGTCGGCTACCAGCCCCCCCGCGATGAGGGTGAGGGGGCGCAGTGGGCATGGGGTGGGTTAAGAGGTAGGGGGGCGGCCCCCGTCTCAGAGCATGAGCTTGTATATGTGCGTGGTCATTCTATATGTTCGGGCTCAGGCGTTGCTGGTTGTTCGGGTATTCACTTGCCAATGGGTTCGTTATCTGAGTCGGCATTGCCTTCGGCCTTTCGGGGAATCTCGAGCTTGAAACCGTGCTCCAAATTGTGTGATGTCTCGCGGCGTCTGATGGTTGTGCTTGCAATGTAGTGCTCCCTGGGCGGTGTAGATTAGCGCTCGCGTAGGCAGGGGGAAGTAGGGGGCTCGTAGGGGAGGGGGCGGGAGGAGGAAGGGGAGGGGGAGGAGGAGGAGGGTTGCGATGAGGGGGGGGGAGAGGGGGGAGAGGGGAGGGGAAAGGGGAATATGAGCAGGAAGCGGAGGGCGGCTTCCTAGAAGAACCCCACCTCAGAAAAAGAGGGTGAGGGAAGGAAAGGGGACGTGTGGGGGAGAGGACGGGAGGAGGAGGAGGAGGAGAAACAGGATGGTGTTGGGGAAGTCTTGCCCACTTCCCGTGGGGCCGTTCGGCGGCCGCCAGCCATCGCCCTCTACGTTCCCTGCCCGTCCAATCATCCACCCCTGCACCCGCCGATTCGGACGAGACAGTGTTGTTATATTTGGGAATGCGCGGGGTTATCGCCATGCTCGATGGGTTGCGTCCCCAGCTAATTTTCAGAGGTTTTAACATGATGTGGCAATGTTATTTTTGAGTTATTTTAGAGTTAGTTCGATTTATTCTACGCTGGAGGCCCTCTGTGGGGCCAGGCGTCTCACAATCTCTAGCCGCAAGCCAGGCTGGAGTTGGCCGCTTAGGACGATCCTGGCGTTCGCTGGAGTGCCTTGAACGAGGCGCCACTGCTGGCAAATATTGGAGGGTGTCAGCTAGGAGAAGAGGGAGGAGGAGCAGGAGGGAGGGACGCGGTGGGTGGTGTGTGTGTGGGGGCGAAAACGAGGAGACGGGGATGATGGATGATGGAGATGGAGAAGGAAGACGAGGGGGACGGGGGGGAGCGAGGGGCGATGGCGATGATGATGTGGAGAGGATGTAGCAGGGAGGAGAAGGAAGAGGAGGAGGAGGAGGAGGAGGAGAAGGAGGAGGAGGAGGAGCAGAAGGGTTATCCTGTATCATGTCCTTTCTGGTGAGTATGCGGCCCTGCCAGACATCAGGACGCTCCACCTGCTTCGCGAAGGTTCGGCGACTCTCCGGAAGGCTGACACGCCTTTACTCGATCCCTGCGCGAGCTGGAGACCGCACGGGCCGGGCTGGGCACAGCGTCTGCCCGCGGTGCGCCCTGGAAGTGTGGCCCAGTTGCCTTTGGACAACGTGGTTCTTGACCGTGCCGTTCGCTGGGGGGTGTTCTCTTCGTCGCTTCCTTTTTCTCCACCACCTCTGGTGTCGCTGCCACCAGTGCCGCGATCCAGCGATTCCTCCGCGCCGCCCTCGCCCTCTCCTCGCCCTCCTCCGCCTCTGTTTTCTTTCCCCTCTTCTCTTTCTCCTCGTCGTCGTCCTCCTCCTCCTCCTCCTCCTCCTCCTCCGCGCGCTGGCGTTGATCAGGCGCACGGAGAAGACGCCCCTGTACTGGCACCGCAGTATGGGCATCGGACTCGCCAAGAATGACAAGCCTGGCATGAAGGGAAGGCGAGTTATACACTCTCTCCCTGCGGTGGGGAAGGGCTACTTCGCGTACAAGCTCAAGGCGCAGCTGGCCTCACAGGATCATGGATTCGCCCCCCATCGACGCAGGGAGGGCGCGCTGCTGGCGACTCAGGTGCTGGCCTGGCGCCTGAAGCAGTCGGGATGGTCGTGGGTGGCAACCCTCAGGGACATGGCGAACGCCTTTGGCAGTGTGTCCTGGGACAGGTTCGATGAGGTTATCCTAGACGAGGGTCTGGTGGAGCCGCAGAACCAGAAGCTCTGCCGCGATAGGTACCGCCTGTCAGTCGTGGAGGTGGACACGAGCGACGGGGTCCTCTTTTTGAAGACGGGCGAGGGCGGCCTCATGGGGGACCCGTTTGTGGTGCAGGCGTTCGCGGCGGCCTTTGTCGCGCCCGTGGACAAGTGGTCCCAACAACTGACGCAGGAGGGGATCACAGGACCGTTGCACGGGGGCTTCGAGGACTACTCGATCGACGTCTCGCTGTCCAAGTACGCCGACGACCTGTACCGTGTCATCCCCCTGGAGGTTGGGTGCGACATGGACGAGGCCCTCAGGAGGATGAAGCGCAGCGACGACATCCTGGACGAGTGCCTCTTGCAGCATGGGCTGGCGCAGAATCGGGACAAGCAGGTGGCGTGCTTCATGATTCAGGGGACGGGCTCGCAGCAGTGCAAGCGTTGGCTCCAGCATTCCATCGCACGGGGTAGAATCGACGGACGAGTCGAGGAGGCGACGAGGTACCTGGGGCCGATTGTCACGCAGGACGCCTCGGCGGCGATCGAGGTGGAACGTAGGATGGTGGCCGCCCGTGCTGCTTTCTATGCCATGGCAGGCTTTTGGTCTGCCAGCACGCCGCGACGCTGGCGGCGCACTGTGCTGATCGGCCTAGTGCAAAACACCCTCCTGTCAGCACTTGAGGTTTTTTTACTCAGCCCCCGCCAACTCTCGCTCCTTGACCACTGCCTCGCCTCCCTCTGTAAGATCGCCATGCACGGAGCCGCGTGCGAACGCAATGAACAAGGGGAAGTCACGGACCGCATAGGTTCTCTAGAGATTCTAGCCTCCTGGGAATTAGTGCCGTGCGAAACGGAGCTGCGTATCCGAAGGCTCGTCTGGTACCAATCTTGGGCCTCTCGGACTAGGGTGCACGCGCACGTTTTGGCAATGCTCTTTGGGGCCCTAGTTTTTGAACCTGCGGAAATGCGGCCGTGTACAGTTGATGGCCTTAGTCAGTTTGCGAGTCCCTGGGCCAAACGCATCCAGGATGGCGCCCGTGCCGCGATCGAAGTGATGCCTGATGACAGGGATGTGCTTTTGCGCGTTGCTGACTGCCCCTGGCTACTTATAGAAGATAAAGAATTATCTGAGGATTTCGTTCGCCTCGATTTCAGACGTCTGCGCAGTTACCATTTCACTGCCACGATTGCGCCCCCTGGCCCTTCCCGTGGTGTCTTTGACCCTGGGGTCCCTGGTGGGCTCGTCCCCCCCCCGTCCCTGTTGCCACGTTTGTTTGTTCTTGGGCGAAAGGGGAGGGGACGCGATGTGGCGATTCTTTCTGCACGAAGCGGGGTCTCACCGAGCACTTGAGACACAAGCACGGCGTCTATAATTTAGCTGCTCTGCTTTGCCCGTCTAATGAATGTATCGTGTGTAGGAAGATGTTTTGGAATAGGCAAACGGCCTACCGACACCTCGAGGGATCGATACTCAGGGGGCACTGCGGAACGAGAGGGCCGAGTGCGATTGCGACCAGAGCTGAACCGAGGGATCAAGGGTGCCGCATTTGTTCGTACGAGTCGGCCGACTACGACGACCTCTGCCGCCAGCTTCGGGCTCATCTTCCCTGGTCGGTTTCCTCGGGGGCGTGTTTTCTCGCACGACAGCGTCGCCGCCATGACCTCGGACGTGGCGGTGCCCTCGTGGATGGCGAGGTCGGCCTCGCCCCCTGCATCGGCGCCGCGCCAGAAGCGGGGCAAGGCAGGCAACCCCAAGGAGAAGGCCGGCCAGCTCCTGGTCGTCATCGCGAAGCTCGCCCTCACCACAGCCCGACAGGCAGCGCAGCTCGAGAGCGTGTGCTACGCCGCGATGTTCACCAGCGAGGCCGACGGCAGCCTGGGACAGGTGTGTCGCAAGAGTGGCATCGAGTACGACGGCGAGAGCCAGAGGCTCCGCGAGAGGGTCGCGGGCGGCGAGTCGGTCGACTTCAAGGCCCGCGGCCCACCTCACGTCCACCTTTTCGGCGCCATGTTCAAGCGCAGCATGGAAGTTACGGCGTCGGGGGGGGGGAGGGGCGACTCCGAACGCAGACGGGCGCAATATCTTCCTCGAGTACTGGCAGCAGGTAATAGTCGTCAAGAAGCTTCTGGAGATCGCGGAGCAGGTCCTCCACTGCAAGTACCGCAAGGCGAGGGCCACGGGAGAGGACGCCAAGGGGGTCCTGTCGTTCGTGCTGAACTCGAAGGTGCCGACCGCCAACTCTCTGTACCCGATCCTAGTGGACTACCTCTCGAAGGTGGAGAAGGCGGAGGCGGTGCACGGGCCAGCGCCGAGGGGCCCCTTGGAGCGAGAGGCAGGCAACCTGCTCCAGGCTCTCAATCAGCTTTGATGGCCAGCAGTGAGAGGCTCGCATCATTGATTGCCAGGGGAATTGTCAGCCCCGCAGTTTTGTCCGCCACGAGAGTGGCGACGGTGTACGCATCACCGCTTTTGCCCACATCTGTCGTCCAAGTGGTGAGTCCGACCCGCCGCGCACGTAGAAGGAGAGGAGCGGGAGGTGGGAGCGCCG